TTGGTCAATGTATCTGTCATTGTACCAGTACCAGGCTGTTTTGACTACTGTCGCTGTATAGTAGGTTCTGAGGTCAGACAGTGTGAGTCCTCCTACTTTATTCTCTTTCTTCAATAGTTCTTTATTTATCCAGGACTTCTTCCTTTTCCATATAAAGTGAATGATTAGTTTTTTTCATCTCTTTAAAGAATGTTGTTGGTATTTGGATCAGGATTGCATTGTATTTGTAAATTGCTTTGGATAGAATTGTCATTTTCACAATGCTGAGTCTACCTATTCATGAGCATGGTATGTTTTTCCATTTATGTAGATCTCTTTAGATTTCTTGCAGTAGTGTTTTGTAGTTTTCTTTGTATCAATCATTTACATCCCTGGTTAGATTTATTCCTAAGTATTTCATTTTTTTAGGGGCTATTATAAATGGTATTGTTTTCCTGATTTCCTTTTCATCGTTCCCTTTCTTGGTGTAGAGGAATCCAACTCATTTTTGTATGTTTATCTTGTATTTTGCTACTCTGCTGAAACTTTCTATTAGTTCCAGTAGTTTTCTTGTTGAGTCTTTAGTATCATATCATCCACAAACAAGGACAGTTTAACTTCTTCATTACCAGTTTGGATGCCCTTTATTTCTTTTTCTTGCCATATTACTCTAGCTAGGACTTCCAGCACAATGTTAAATAGAAGTGGTGATAAAGGACATCCTTGCCTTGCATCTTTTCTTAAGGGGAATGCTTTCAGCCTCTCTCCATGAAGAATGATGTTGGCCGTTGGTTTTGCATAGATGCCCTTTATTATGTTGAGAAATTTCCCTTCTATACTTATTTTATTGAGAGTTTTTATCAGGAATGGATGTTGGACTTCGAAAGCCTTTTCTCTGTCAATTGAGATCATGTAATTGTTTTTTTCCTTTTATTTATGTGGTGGATTACAATGATTAATTTTCTAGTGATGAACCATCCTTTCATAACTGTTAGGAATCCTGCTTGGTCATGGTGTATTATAGTTTTGATATGATGCTGAATTCTATTGGCTAGAATTTTGTTGAGAATGTTGCATCTATATTCATGAGAGATATTAGTCTGTAATTTTCTTTTTTGTGGCATCTTTTTCTAGTTTTGTTATCAGGGCTATGCTGGCTTCTTAGAATGAATTCAGAAGGTCACTTCCTTCTCTGTGTTCTGAAATAGTTTGAGTAGTACTGGTATAAGCTCCTCTCTGAACATTTGGTAGAATTCTCCAGTGACGCCATCTAGGCCAGGGCTTTTTTTTTGTTGGGAGTTTTTTTTTTTTTTAATTACCTTTTCATTC